GGGCCGGTGGTACCGGGCGGGAGGGGGGCTCGCGGGGACTACGGGGACTGCTCCGAGAAGCGGGAATGTCAGCAGCTCAGCTCCAGCTGTCCGGCCATACCCGGCCACAGCAGACACCGGAGGTGCGAGGGATGTGCTTGGCTCCAGAGCCACGGGCAGTGCCACCTCCTCAGAGCTCCCAGAGTAACCTCAGGGTGCTGGGCATCGTCTAGGAAACCTGCCCCGCAGAGGGGCAGCCCGCTCCTCCACGCAGGATTGTGCAGGAGGGCTTTTGGCTTTGACGGTACAGTGCCATGTGGCCCATCTCACTACCCACTTTCCCCATCGAAGAAATCCCCTTTTTCAACAGGGACTTCTGAGGCTGTCTGGCCCTGAAGGAAATGTCACCAGCTTCTGACTCAACCAAACCTTTCTGTAGATTCTCTGAAGCTTACTTTACAAATTTCAAGAGCTACATAGCAAGTTATAGTGCTTGTATCATAGCTGTCAACTTAACTAACTCCCTGTTTCCCTCCTTAGCTTGCTCTAGTTTCTACTCATCCTCACTCACTGCACCAAGGAGGAATTTCAGTGTCAGACTGTCCAAAATTCATAGATTTCCTAAGACAGTGGAGATCTGAACAATACCCACAAAGAAGAGCAAAATTCATCAACTGGAGTGTTTCACCATGCAGTTCTGATGGTTACTTTGAGAATCAAAGCACAATTATCTATGTACCTTTTTTTTCTGCCCCAAAAGAAAACCTAAGTAATTTTTAACTTTTAAACAGTGGTTAAATTTGTAATCTGTTCTGCAGGATTCATATATTTTTGCACTTTGTCTAACCACATCAGTGATCTGGAAGGTTTATTCTTATATTTAGTGTCACATACCTCACAAAAGCCACTGCATAGAAATACACAAAAGCAAATTCTGCCTCTAGAGAAACATGCTTCATGTAATGCAAGGTTAAATTTAAGCAACAGGCTGTAAGTAGATGCAAGGATAGCAATCCTATTTGGAGCAACCAAGACAGAAATAGATGTCTTAAAATAAAAGGGGCTTGGAAAATAAGCACATAGTGTAAAATTCTACAGAGGAAGCCAATAAAACTACTACTACTTCTATCAAAATGATACTACTTCTACTCTTCTATTGAAATGTTAATCTAGCTTTTGTCAATAGAAACGAGATTAATTATTAAATACAGAATGGTCTCGACTGGCAAGAATGCCAAGTTGATTAAAACGGGGACTGGAAACAAGAGAATCCTGTTCTAATCCTGATTCTGCTGCATTCACTGTGTGATTAACCACTGCAAATACCCACAGCTTAAACCCCCTTGTTTTAAAACAAGGATAACAGTCACTTAATTAACAGCTCTTATAATTCTCCTGATATTTAGTGGAGTACGTCTTGGAAAAATATAAAATACATTGTAAATACTAGGTATTAGCATAATTCCTCCACCAGATCAGTTATCTGCTATAGCACACTAAATCAAAAGTTAAAATAGCTGCTGCTTCCCCTTGCCTTCAGTTCCACAGCCACGTATAGCAGCTGATGTTTAATATATGAAAGAGGTTACCAAACTCCATAAGATTTTTTCCTCAGTTTAGAATTTCCATTTATACCTTTAAAACGGAGTTAGGAGCTTAGATACAGTGTAACCAATTCATTATTTAAAATATGCCATCATGGTCAGGATACTATTTTACAGATCACATCTACTTGTGAATATAAAATACACACATCAGTTGCTAATAGCTTATTAGTGATACAGATTTGTTGAGTGA